TTGCATGTAGATGTGTTAAACAACTTATCATCATTTGTTATACACCACAGCATTTTTAGGTGATCAAAAGTATTGGAACAAATTATCTTAAAGTAAATAGCATTTAATATTTGGTGGCATAACCCGATTGCCTCAAGCCTGTGACCCATCGTCACCAAACTGTTGCGTTTTTCATTCGTGATGCTGTTCCAGGCCTTTACCACAACTTCTTTCAGTTCTTGTTTGTTTCGGGGGGTGCACCTTCACAGATGARCTTGTATGCTTTGGATCATCAGCAGTTTCTTTTTTATTCTCCACACTTTTGCAGAGATTAATCTTGGTCTCATCAGCACATAAGATTGTCTTCCAGAACTTTTGCAGCTCATCTCTGTACTCCTTTACAAATTTCAATCTGGCCTTCTGGTTCTTCTTACTGATGAGTAGTTTGTATCTTTGTGTAAGGCCTCTGTTTTTCTGCTACTGGAGTGTTCTTCAAACTGTGGATTATGATACCTTCACCCCTGCACTGTGGAGGTCGTTGGTGATGTCACTTACTGATTTTTTTTTTGTTTGTTTTTGTTTTTCACAGCTCTCACAATATTTCTGTCGTCAACGCCTGCTTTTTTCCTAGGCTGACCTGTTGGACATCTCTTGCTCAGTACACCAGTAGTTTCTTTCGGATTCAGGACACTCCAAATTGTTGTGCTCGACATACCCAATATTTGTCCAGTGGTTCTGACTGAGTTTCCTTTTTTTTTCTCAGCTTCAAAAYGGCTTGTTTTTCTCCCATAGACAGAGACCATGGTCTTCATGTTGGTTTATCCTCTTCAAAAAGAATAACCTACATTATATGTTTAAACTCAGGAGAAAAAGTAGACTAGTCATGCAGAGCTATTTCATGTTTGAACAATCAACACCTGGTCAATAAGAAACACCTGTCAGTCACATGTTCCAATCGTTTTGCTCACTTGAAAAATGGGTGAGATCAGACAAAAGGTGGTATGTTCTGAGTTGTTTAACACATCTACATGTAAATACCAAGAAATAAATGCTGACATTCTGAACTCTTGTCTCATGGTTGGAGTCATAGCTGGAAGGTGGTGATTGGTGTTATCATGATTACAGTCTTTAAGGCAAATTGTGTGGTCATTTTTTAAAGGAAATTAAAAACCCTGAGTTACCTTAACTTGCACCACCTGATTTTTGCCATGACTGTAGATTAATTCAGTTCATTTATTGATTTCATCAAAAAAACAAACAAAACGTTTCACACAACAAAACAATACAAATCAAACAAAATGAAAGGCAGCAGAAGAAGAAAAAAATTCTTATATCTGCCCCTTTTTTAATTAAAAAA